CCTTTCTTGTTCTTAGTCTTGTTTCAAGAGACTTTAGTTTTCTTGACTTTGATAAAAAAATCATTTTAGTTCAATATTATATTAGTTTTGAGTGAATATGTATTTTTTTTGAGTGACACAAAAGCATATTGATCCTTTGATTTTTTGAGATGCAAGTCATTGATAATGATTTATTAGACAAAATATTGGATGGTCTAGCCTTTTGTATTGAAGTTGCTTATAGCTAAGTGATGTATTCATCAATAAAGAATCAATAAAAATAATATAGATAGCAAAAATATTATCTTGTAATAATTGATTGTTTAACTTATAAAATAAATTGTAATGGTCTCAAGATTAGATTAAAAATACAAAAGATAATTTAGCCTAATTAAATGTTAGATAACATATAGATGTAAATACTACAATGTTATCATTATTTGTTAGCTTTCTAATTGATCAAAGATCATTTCTAATTGAAAATACATAATAAATTTGAGATAAAACTATAATTCTTCAAAATTAAAATAATTTTATTTAAAAAAAAAAAAAAAAAAAAAAAAAAATGAGAATCTCTTGTAATAGCTAGTATATAAGTAAGAAAATTATTTGTAAACTTAGAAATTTGAACTTTTGTACAAGTAAAGAACAAGTTGATTCTTGAGTAAATAATCCACTCATTTTAAATTGTGTTACCATTGATACTAAATTGATCTCTCTTATTTTGAAGTCATCTTTCAACCTCTATTTTTTTTCTATTAAACTTTGAATTGAAAGAATCTACAATTAATTTTTCTATCACATTATCATATTGGTTTTTTAATTCAAATTTATTTTTGAACTACTTATAACTAAAAAATAATAAAGAAATGTAAGTAAGATGAAGCTTATTTGATTTTTTAGTCATTTTCTTTGTATATACATTAATCATAATAAGTATATTGAAACAATTTTTTTTCTTAATATTAACAAATAATTTGGTGTTTTTATTTTTTTTTTCTTCTTTTACTTGTCAATCTTAGACTAAAAAGAAATTAAGGTCTTCTTAATAAAAGTAGAAGATTGTTAATTATACTTTTTAAATTGAATGTACATTGCAAAATTTGAAAACATAAGTTATAAATTTGTACTAAAGATAGTTCTAAAATAACTTTGAATGGTCTTTATATTGATGGAAGGTAAATAGAAGCTATTTTTATAAGAGTATTGTCATTAAGTACTTTGTCAACCTCAACCAAGTCAATAACAAATTCTTTGATCTTAACAAGGTAGTTCTTAATAAAATTGTCATCAAAATCTATCTTAAGATATTATGGCTCATTCTTTAGATCTATGCATTTAAGTAGTTTAGAAGTCTTAAATTTTTCTTGAATTGAGAAAAAAAATATTTTTATAATGATTTTTATATCTCTTGAAAATTAAAAGAATTTTTTAAGAAGTAAAGATAGTAAAAATTATGACAAACTAATTTATTTTCTTGTATAAAGAAATGGTAGCAACAACTTCAATTGCAATAGTCAATTTAGGACTTGTCTTATATAAAGTATTTGTTGAGGTGGTTAAAGATGCTGCAAAGTTGGTAGCTCTATTGGTTGTAATTATGCAATTCCAAACAGTTCGAACTTTTAAAAATTAATTCTACTATGAATGACTGCTTAAGATAATTCTTGGAGCTAATTAATTTATCATTTATCTAAAAACTAAATCTCTTCAAATCCATCAATTATTGACTTATATAATAAGATTAACTTAACACGAGATATGTAGAGACAAATAAGAATAGTTAGTTTGGCTATGCAAGTGATATAAGAACATTTGTAAGAATAGATGTCATAAGACAAAACCATGCTTTAATACCATACTAGAATTTTGACTATTTGATTAGTTTCTAGATTGTTTTATATAACATATAAGTAGATGCTTTTATTCTATTTACTACATTACATACATTTTTAGATCTTTTGCTAAGCCAATTCATGGACTAATAGGGAGTTGTCTTCTCATCATAAATCTCTTATATAATTCCTAAAATATTAGTGTGACCTAATCTAGCCTTTTAATCTAATTTCCAAATCCTTGAGATACTTACAAGACTTAAGCCAATTGATAATATCTGCCTTGTATTTTTAGGCTAAGGCTAGGAATAAACTATTTTATTGATTCTAATTTTGTCTATTATTTAATAATATCAATGGATTTATAATATCAATATTATTATTTTAAATTTTACTTTTGATTTTTAATTACTAATAAAAGTGGCAGTAAGAACAATCGTAACTATATTATTGCTATTTTCATGTTATTACTTTAAGTTTTATAAAAAAAAATAAGATATATGATTTTTTAATATATTAAAATACGGCTTTATATTGGTTTGATGTCCTTTTTAATTTTTTCTTTTAATTCCATGTATGTATGTATATATGTATGTATGTATGTATGTATGTATGTATGTATATAATTTATGTAATCAATATTTCAATATTATAAATTACATAGGTAAATATATATTATTTAATTTCATTAGTTTTATAATTTATAAAAAAATCTAGTCCTTTAATAGATAGATGTATCTATTATATTAAATTAGATTGTTTATTTGAATCTCCAATACCTTAGATTTTTTATAATTTGTATAAAAAAATTTATAATAACATGTATCTTAGTTATGTAAACTTTTATTACCAAAACATTGTATTTTAATTAATGAACTTATAACCATATTAATAATCAGTCATAAATAGATACTATAAGTTGTTTCAAACTTTGTAGTATTTTATATCAAAAAAAATAATATTTTATTAATTTTTAATATATAATATATTTTTAAAATAATATATAATATAAGTATTACAAAACATTGTTTGAAGTTAGAATTGTATATTATCTAGTAAAACAATATTATATTTACAAAAGCATAACAAACTATCTTATAATTTCAAAAAAACAATCTGTGAATTCTTAGATCCAACATCATCTCCACTAATTGTTTTGCAAATAACATAATAGATTTAATGATAAAATGAATATTTTTTAAATGTCCTAACAATAAAAGGTTTAAAATAACTATATATGTTACATTTAATATGAACATCTATTTTTGATATGAAACAAGATTATTATGTGATTTCATTAAACATGTTAAAATTTTGTTAATAATTTTCAGAAAATTTAAGATTACACAAAATTTAAAATAGATGTTTTGATAAGCCACATAATAGAATGATTACTGATAGTAATTCTAAAATATAACAAATTATTTTTTAAGACTTGAACTTGCCTCTAAAGAATACCATATAACCTAAATATTTTATTAATTAAAAATTCAATAAAAAAAAATTAAAAAATAAATTAAGAAATAAAAATCATAAAGAAGAAAATATATATTTTTTAAATTGAAATATTTTAAATCTTAAAAGAATTTTGGAACATTTTAAAATTTCATAACTACCAAAAATCTTTAGGAATTATATATATATATATATATATATATATATATATATAACCAAATTATTTAGTAGCAAAGAGATTTTGACATGCTTCCCAAGTACAAAATATTGTAGAACTTGAAGTTATACACAATAATTCTCAACTATGTAATAAATTATTTATTTAATGATTTCATGATTAACATAATTATTTGAACTATGTAATTTTAAGGAGTGAAAGAGTCATTTTTTATTTTTTTGAAAGAATTATTAATTTATTGATAATTTTAAAAAAAAATTATATTGATATCAAATTATATACTTTTTTATTGTTTCTTACAAATTATCTTGACACATATAAATGGGATTTTTCTAAGAAATAAAACATAGTTATTTAAGGCACAAATATTAAAAGATGCTTTAAATAAAATTAAAAGACAATAAGTTTTTTTAAAATATTTTATTAAACTTAGAAATAATTCAAGATTCATGCATCTATTGTATAAGATAGCTTGGATATAACACAACGAAGCAAAGAAGTATTTTAATTGGTTGTAAAGAAGGGAACTTGAGAAACATGGAAATCAAAGTATATGGGAATGTAGGAGCAAAGGAATGGATGGATGTGCCAGAGATTGCAATGCTCAATAATATAAGTTTCAGCTAGTTTATTATATATCAAAGGTTCTTTTAATTATTTTATACCATTATTGATAGTTGAATCCATTCAAGAATATATTAACATCTTTTAAAATAATATTAATTTGAAAATATAAAATAAAATAAATACCAAATAGATAAAGAATATAATATTTTATATGTTATAAAATACCAACTTAGATATGTTTTTATATCCTTTAAAAGAAGAACTTAGAAAACATATAATTTTATTGGATTCGACATCCAAAAATCTTTTCTTATTTCACAAATTTTTGTTAGATTATTTTTCAAGTATTTTTTTCAAAAGTTTTATTATTAACATTAAAACCTGAAAATATATATCTTTTAAAAAACAAGGATAGGTGTTTCATCTATATATAGTTGCTAATGAGAAAGTCATATAGTATCTTTTTAAGAACCACAATATGCATAAGAAAAGTGTCAAGGTTTTGGAACACTTCTAAAATAGCTTAATTACTTCACTAAATAGGTTCAAGAAGATAGCACCGCAAACCAATTTCCAAAGAGATTACACAATGGTGATTGATCCTAATTGCAATATGAAATTACAACAAATTACTATTTATATGTGTATACACATGTTTAAAAGAATACATTGGTGACGTGACCAGATTATTCTTGATATTACCATCACGTCACCATTTACTAATAAAAATCCCATAGGCTTCATCACTTACAACATACCCATCTTTCAGGGGTGAGAGGGTATAAACACCAGTTACCAATGCCAAACATGGAATAGCAAAGATATCCAATCTTAGACTGCCCAGCATAAGACTAAGGTGATGCAAAGACAGAGTCTTGCTCCACGAGTAAAAGAAAATCTACGATTTCCTTCTTGGTGAAGAGATGCTATGAACTCATTCACTATTCCAGCCCCATTAAGTGGAGTTCAATCCAGCAGCAAAGCAATAAGGAAAAAGCAAGTCACTACTGACATACTTTATTAACAAGCCGCAAACACAAAATGGAGCTTGGGCAAGGAACCAAACACTGAATGGGTTCGGACGCCGAACAAGGGGGAAGCGAGAGACCAACAGTGCAGAGCCTCCTCCATTTATCCATCCAGTAGCTTGTTCAGCTCATAAGCTCTTCACTTCACTCTCTCCATCTCTCATGCTGAACAGCTTGATAACTTAAACCAACTGGGGAAAAAAAAAAAAAAAAAAAAAAAAAAAGGCATACATAAACCTCGCACTTCAATGTACACACATCTATCCAGTTTAAAGACTTGGAACTGGTGGGTTCTTTCAAGAACTCGAGATTCGGCGAAACTCCGCAGCAAACCGGAGATGTGCTTATATGCTTTGATAGCAAACCAATTCCCAGTAGATGCCACATCTTCAAGTAGCCTAGAGAATCCGTCAGTCAAAGAATCTTCTGGAAGCGTTGTTTTCAGAACCGAAAGATCCCGAATTAGGAGACCCTTGATTGTCCTGAGCTGAATTACCACCACCTCCACCGCCAGCTTCTGACTCTTGCATGACCACTACTACAGGAGTGTGACCCGCAAATAGATTGATGTGACCAAAGAGCTTGTCTTTCCGTGAAAAAGTAGTTCCGCACGAGCATTGCCACCTCTCACGTCCACAGTGCTTCTCATGAGTCTTTAAGTCTGCTACTACTGAAAATTTCTTCGTCATGCATTTCTGGCAGGTGAGAACCTTAGGACAATGACTGCGGCGGTAATGATTCTTCACACACAGCATAGTTTTCAACGGCTGGAACTTGCGATGTTCTTTGTTCCTTTTACATCCCACACAAGGACAGGAATATCGCCTTAATCGAGTTGCTGAGGTATCAGGATAATCCTTGTCAGGACGTGCAAGCGCCGCAGGAGTCTTATATTCGTCTCCATGACCCCGCATATGCATCCTTAAATTGGCGTCACGCTTGAAACCCTTCCCACAAATCTCACAAAAATGTGTGTGCTCAGCCAAAATCTCCGAGGCATTCATCTCTACAAGATCAAATGAACCAGGAATGATGTTTTCACCATCACCATCGCCGTCACTATCATCGTCGCTGCGTGATTCCGTATCAAGATTCTCTAGACCACCGCTCACACCGCCCAACTCATTGGAAATAAAAGTATTTGTACCTGCTGCAAGTGAGTTATCTAACAGATTAGAATCCTTATTGGCAACTCTACGTCGCTTACCACCCCCTGCAACACTTCCCAAATCTTTGCCTCCTCCACTGCATATCTGATTTTGAAGCAATGTTCCAGAACTACCCCTACCAGCAGAAGGTTGTCCACTAAGATTCTGTGGTCCTGTTAAGTCTCCATCGCTATTCAGGCCGGGAAAACTGGTTCCTCCACTTGGAAATCTGAGTCCACAATTGTCAGAGAGGACACTTGAATTCACTCCTGCACCAACCCCTGAAACTACCTCCGCTGGAGTACCAAAATTATTTCCCATTGAAGTTCCCAGCGATGAGCATCTCTGGGGTGCTCTCAAAGGTTCCCCCACAGTATCCTGCTGGAAGAAATTTGACTGCTGCCCGACAGAAGCTTGAAGCAATTGGCTCAGAGGCAATTCTGCGGACTGATTTCCTTGACCTCCTGAATTCTCAAATGATTGAGGAAGGAGACCAATGGCTACCATTGCAAGCTGAGAGATAATGCTCACAACAGCAGCGCTAGCTGCTTGCTGCTGGGCAACTGTATTCCCCTCAATTTGGCTGTGCGCGGTGTGAGAAATAAGTGGCACTAAGGCTTGCAGCTGCGAAATCCTTTCCTGCAGCATGGAGAGATGTTCCATAATGGTTTGTACATTCTGATCCACTGTAGATTGACAGGAGAGATTCTCCGAAAAATTTGAATTCATCAGCTGGCTGCTGAACTGAAGCTGATCAAAATTTGAGGCCATGTTCCCATGCTGCAGATGCTGCAACATCTCTCCCATTCTATCACCACTTCTAATCCCTCCCCCACCACTACCCCCTATCGGCACTAATTGCGAGTGTGATCGATGATTTTGATGAGCTTGAGCTTGCTCCTGTATCATCCATATCAAATAAGCAAGGCAAATGATCCGGAATCAGTTCGCCAAGAAGTTTCCCATTTGGAAAAGAGGGCCTTAAAGATTCAATACAAGCACCGACTTAAGAGAACCTGGAACTTATCCAAATTACAGATAACAGAACATCTTGTACGTACGCATTGACCGTCAACCACGAGAAAAGACATAACATGAACGCTGTAGAAATGTTTCTAAAAAGTAGTGCAATGTTGATAACGAGACACATCACTGACCTGTGCATTGACGCCCAATGCAAAGTCAAGAGGTAAAGACTGTAAAAGTTGATTCTGATGAGGATGCAATGGCACCGTGTTCGAAAATTGCCTCAGATGCTGACCAAGGAAGGCGAAAGTCAACAAGGAATCGTTGGATGGACTTGAAGACTGTTGCTGACTGGCACCCTGCATCGTGCTCACGCCCTTCCTAGCCAAATAATCTGTCGAAAGAACTTCACCAGACTTAACAAAACAGAAAAGCAATCATCAAGCTAATGATCTTCACTAAGTAGCAAAAAGAGCTCAGTAGCATCAACGCATCTCATATGCAACATAGATGATTGGCATCCAGGGAATGTATGATGAGTACCTTAACGACAGAAGACAGAAGTCCGTCCCACAAGGTTCAGAGGACCGTCTCTCATCACCTGGAACTGGCGAAGTTGCACTCGAATAAAAATCACAGTTCACATGAAGTGGGCACCAGCAACCCCACCAGATCTCCGTGACTGATGTGACACTGGAAAAAAGCTCATATAGAACGGAACCTAACTAATCTCAAGGCTCCGGAAACTGCGCAAGCACCAGGGCTTCAGATCGAAAGCGTTTCCACAAATGACGGTCAACCGAAACTATCTCCAAGGATCTGTGTACGACTAATTTACCCAATTGAACCCGATTGTTTTCCAGATTTCTCGTTGTGCCTCTGTGCAGATGGAGAGCAAGTGCGTCCTATCACAAGCATTGGTTGAGGAACACTCGCACATACGCACTGCGTCACTGAGATTACGAAGCCCACCTCGTGATACATTGTCGAACCCAATCTGCACAATCAAGAAGAAATCTCATCACAACCATAGAACATTAACGAGAAGAAACTACTTGCAAAATCACCGTACAGGACCTGCTATCATCCGTGCTCGAGAATTACATACATAGTGATAATAAACAGCTAAGAATTATTCCTCAAACCCTTGCTATACACTGCTCTTGGCTTCGAGAGGTAAAACTTCAAGAATTCGGACACTTCCTCATGCCTCGACTGAACAAATTTAGCAGAAAATCCAAGCATGACTATACCTGATAGTCCAATGTTAAGGAGCCCTTCGAATCCGACGACTTGATGACAACAGAATCATCGAACACGATAGGTCGATACTGCACGATATCTTCAGATGGGCTAGCTGCATAGAACAATGGAGAAAAAAATTATCTAAGCCTATTGGAGCTCAAACCAACACAGCAGCTCAACGAAACGAAAGACATCCAATTCATCAAGGCCAGAATAAGGCAATTGCAAGCACCAGGGAAGAAAACCAATCAAGGGAGACAGAGACTTGCAATCCCAAAACGCTAGTAGATAGTGCTCAACAGGTGTAAAACAAACACGCAAAACGAAACGAAGCTGAATTGATAGTATCTTCGAAACCGCACAAGCAACCTGCACTGCAGAATTTAAGCAGGCACAGCGAGAAGAATTCCCGTGAAGATTCCATTGATCCGACACAGTTACAAACAGCAACTCGGTCATTCTACCAGACCCAAGATTCCCAACCCTGAATGCGAACATCAGGACTCCAAGACTAAGAAAAGAACCTCCACACAGACCCAACGCGAAATTCAAGGATGAATCCGTCAGAGGAGCACAGGAGCGCTGTCATCAAAGACGACGACTCAACAAGACTGCTCCAACACACAACCCTCTCCTCCTTCTCTCCCTCCCGAACATAAGCACCTCACTAGGAACATGCCACGCAACCCAACACAAAGCAAACCGCCTAAGTTCCTACTTTTCAAAAACTCTCTCTCTCAAGTCCCAGTTGATACGCCTCGCACAGTACCAAACATCAGTAAATCAACCTAGAGTTGGGAAACGAACCCAAGTCGCGCAAACAGAAGTCGTACCCACACGAACGGGAATGCGCCTAGTCGCTCAGAACACAATCTAGTTGGCTCAAGCGCTGCCGGTCGAGATACCGGAACCCCCAGATGCAACCGCCTGGGTGCAAAAACCCGGAAGAATACAAGAAACAGAGGAAGAAGAAGAAGAAGGAAGATGACGAACAAGAGGGTAAGCGGTGGGTGCTGGGGGAAAAATAAATAAATAAATAAATAAATAAATACTCGGGCCCCGCTTCTCTATACCCATAATCTCATCCCCACAACCGAACGAACAAGGCGACAGAAACGGCAAGAAAAACACACAAATGGGCGCGCGGCGGGGAGGGAGAGGGGAAGCGAGTGAGTGAGTCTTCGTGGAACGAGAATCCGGCGCCTTCTTCCTCCTCCTCGGTGGCTCCGATCCCCACGTAGCTGTTGAAGCAGCAACACACGGCGCACCGGCTCGAATCTGGTAGGCTCAGCTACTCCCCGCTTCCCGCGGTAAGGGCATCCCCGGGACCGCAGCCCACGCACGATGATCTTCATCATCATCGAAGTAGACGAAGATGAAGCTCTAGGGCATCATCTGCATCAACGAAGGAAACTGAAGACGCCGAAATCGCTCGCCCAATTACCAACTGCTCCGATACTGGGCCGCTTCTCTTCGTCGGGGCCCAGCTTCGCCCCTCAGGCTCCGCCTCTCCGTCGCCGAAGTCTCATCCATTTGGGTGGATGTACGTGTCTCTTTTCATTCATCTGTATGCCGACCATTACTGTGGATGGTTTTTTTTTTATTAGGGAGTTCATGGTTTTGACGTGTGGAATAAACTAGGTTCTTGTTTGATTTTTAATTGAGAGTTTTGGTTTTGGAGAAGATTTGTATGATTGTGTTTTGTATGTTGTGCCAATGAGTTGGATATTCCCTTTGATGGCTTTAGGGGTGTGTTTTTTTTATGGGTTGTGCAAATTTGGTACGAGTTTTATTACATTAGTGTATGGTTTATTTGATTTGTGATGTTGTGGTGTAGACAATTGTGTATAATGATGATGATGGTGGTTAAGTGGTTTTGAAAATAATAAAAAGAACAAGCACATCTACAAACTTGCTCCCTCCGCAATTTGTTTACTGAGACCACCAAGATTATCAACATCATGTTTTTAACTGTAGTTCATATATATATATATATATATATATATATATATAATGAAACTAATTATCCGAATAAGTATTTATGCCAGATCAATCTATAAAATATATAAACAGATTATTGTTTGTACCTAATGTAATTACTATTTTCAGACTGTAATAATTTATGTTTTGATAAATATTAATACTAAAATATAGTGAACATGAATGCAACTAAATAAAAAATAATAATTCCTTTTGAAAAAAATATATAAATTAACAACGGAATGAATGTGTGTGTATTTGTGTGGTGCATTACAATCTATTGTTCAATCAACATTTTTTCGCTAGTTGTGTTGTAAATAGTAATATTATAGTACAACCGCTAGTGTTTATTCCTTTTACTGATCACGTGAAGACATTTTAAAATTATTTTTATTAACCAGTGTGGTTGTAAAAAGTTAAAGACAAGTTTTTGCCCTTGGATACTTCAATTTTGTGTATTATAATCAAAAATTCAAACATTAATACTACTATTTTGATATTGTATTATTATTTTAATACAATAAACACTGATATATATATATATATATACACACATACATACACAGATTACTATATTGCACAATAGAAATATATGTAAATTAATAAACTGATACATATATTTTGGTCATTTTAACATATGTATGTATGTATGTATGTGTTTAACATTTATATATATATATTTATTTGTAGATGTTACGCAAATTTGAATAATATGCACAAATGTATTACTATCAAAATACACAATAAGGTGCAAAAATTATATCAATTTGACTTTTACAGTATAAGGTAGTAAATCTAAACTTCTTTGTCATTTGATTCAAAGTAAAAAATACAGTAAAGATAAGATGAATTTATATTAAAGGCAGCTTTATTTTTAAAAAACAAAAACAAAAACAAAATATAGATAAAGACAACACAAAAACAAGGATAATAGACGCAACATAATTTTTATAGTCATCATAATTAATGATTGTAATAAGATAAGTGCATAAAAAAAGGATGTTCTTAAAAGGTTGCATATTTAGAAATGTTTGGTTCAACGACTTCATGGATTAGACAAAGCATTAAGAGATGGAAAATAATTCACATATAAATACAGAAGAGGGTTGTTTGTACAAAAGGTTTTGATTTAATGTAACTAAGCATGAATTTGGTTATCTGTAGAATTTTATATTATTTGTTACTATAGATATATCATAAAAGCAAATGCTACATTAGACAATAAACACCATTATGTAAAGTTGCACTGTAATTGAGACCAATTTTGCAACTGTGTTGCCTGCATCATATCATCAAATGATTATTTATTGTGATGCACTGTGTTGAAAACAAGTTTGTTGCATTGCACCACATTAAAGAATATATACGTTGTAATATTCATTATTGATGAAATAGTGGAACTGTATATTTTTTCATCTTAAGATGGTGTGCATAGTCGTTGGTTTTGAAGTTTATATTTTTCACAATAACTATTTAGATGCAAAAATAAATTGAATATATTCATTTGAATCTACATATATAAAAAAAGTTGTGAATTAATATTTGCATATTTAAGCAGATTTTTGTTACAAAGTGGATGTGGATTTGAGGACGTGGGATAAGAACCTCCGTCAAACCCTAATCCTGTCTCGGCGCTTGCTTGCTTGCTTGCTAGTTTATATAAGAATACGTTGGCTCACTCGGTTTACCAAACCTTCTGTCTCCTCCCTTCTCGTCGTGAGGTAACTTGCACTCTTCATCTCTCGATTGTGCACACACATGCCCTTTGAGTCCGACAGGCGACATTGTCTTACGACCATGCAGCATTTCTATGTGTAGGGTTTAAGTGTCGATTGTCGTGGCTCGGTTGTTGTCACCTGTAGTTGCGACATGGCGAGACCTTGTGGGCTGTTTGTATGGTGTTTTTAGAATCTTCTCGGGCACTGTGTGGGTGGGTCCTTAGGTGCCTTGTGATATGAAGAAAGAAAAATTGGCTGATCTAGTGATGGAATCAGTATAAAATGTCTTCAAAGTTTTCTGATCACAGTGGAGCCACCCACACTGTATCTAGGAGCCGGGTGGCTGAGGAGTATTGTGTGTGGGAGGAGTCGTAGTTAATGGAGGAAAGTACAATGCTCTGGTTCTGGATTTGGCGGTCAGCAGACTAGTTCCTGCGGTCCTAATTGGAATCGGAGTAGAAGGAAACTTGATCTATCGTTTCAGTGCTTGCGGCACACAATGCCTATGGGTTACTGATTGTTGCTCAAGGACAAGTGGTTAAATGGTTTTGGCGTAGTGGCAGAGGTCCTGAGTTATGTGGTAGTTGTGTCAGATGCGCGGCATAGTGTTTCGGAATGAGTGGAGGTTTGGTGACGGGGGCGGTACTCTTGGCGGGGTACGGCCTTGACAATTACGGAGCGGTGATTTGCATTCATTGGATGCGGTTGTGGCCGCAGAGTCCTGTGTCAACGTCACAGACAGATGGTTTCGCGTGATGAGGGTGTGAGTCGTTGGCGCATACCGTCTCCGCGAAAGCGAGGTTGCATATTCCATTGCCCTGGGGAGCAGCGTCGCAGCAGTGACCCTCTGGGACAGACCATGCAACGTACAAGTGTATGAAAATGTTAATTGGAGAAAAGTGACGATATTTTACATCCGTTACCACTCCGAAAGTTAACGTGTGGTCGAACATGAAACCATGGCCGTGGCTCTGATCTCTCTCCCGTAGGGTTATTGAGTTGACGAAGTAGTTACCAAGCGAATTTTCGTTCTACGACTCCAGGAGTATACAAAAGATAAATATCTCCTGGATGATATGTTTAAATTCACTTCAAGCGGATGAACAGCAAATGGCTGATAATTAACCGATTGGTAGAAAAATGCATCATTAAAATTGTAACAAATTTCCCGTGAAGGTCACTTTTCCATTTTCCTTAATATTACTCAGACTTGAGAGAATAACCTAGCTAATCGACTTATTGAGAGTGAAGTATGCCCTACCATTTGCACGCATATTTCATCGGCTTCGAAAAATGCGCTGCGTGACTCTTTAATTATATTCATATCCTCGCTTCAAATTGTTCTTCTACAAGTATCATAAATACTCTTAAGACATAGACTAGCTTGCCTACATGTGAGCGATACTATCACATCACCATTCATCTTATACCGACGAAATGGTAAAAACTAAATGATTTATATAACGCTGCATCAAAATAAAGATAAAGTGTAATTGACTATTATATTTGCATCTTATCATATAGTAAATCAAAACAACCTCCAAATATTTCTACCAGCCGTCATGATGAGGTGAAATTCAAGCAACGAATAATAAGGGACATCTGCAATTGAAGATATGATGTTGATGAGCGGTTGTCAGACCTATTCCCTCAGTCCAAGGACCCTGCGGCAACTTCATAAATTCTTGCTTTCGTAAAAGTAGATGTGCGACTTAGGATGGGAGCAACATAGGAAAGAGAAGTTACGATATACGCATATTACATGTTGTAATTACGTACATACAAATCTGCGACAGAAGAGTGGCAATATTAGGAAAGGTGATACTGAAGGAAAACCACAAATGGATCTCAAGTAGTATTTTCAATTTGTAATTTAGTGATTAAGTTTTACTTCTTGAATATACATCTCAAGAAGGAAAATCCCACACTTTCATTCAGTGCAGTGGTGGTTGACCACTTAGTTGAAGGACAACACCCGTCATTTACATCGTGATCATGGAAAGTGAGTTGCAGGTGCCCCTACACCAGAACTATTCGCTTACAACTACGTCCTACATACAGAACGTTCAAGGTACCAACATAAACTGTATGAAGAGCTTCACGATACCCTCTCATATGCAGTGTTGCTGGAACTAACTAGAAATCTTAGGGGTCAATAAAAAACGAAGAAAAGGAAGAAAAGTCCGCGACATGACTGTACTTCAGATATTAAAAGAGGAAAATCATTCCATTAAAATGAACATGATAATAGCGCAGCTACTGGTACCATACATGCACTCCATTGTTGGGTATACAAGGTGCCTATCCAACACACCAACAGAATCCACTCAAACAACCCCATCACAAGAAGTAAAACCACATAAATGGATCACAAATAATGGGCTCATGTCATTAATGGACTGGAATTCAGATCAACCTTAGGGGGAGCAGAATTAACCTCAAGAAATGGAATTTTTCAAATCCTTTGTGAACTTTTCAAGTTCAGCCAGGCCCTCTTTAGGACTTGCAGCCTCTCCTAGAATCTTAACCATAGCACTGCCTATAATCACACCATCGGCTCCCCACTCTACCACCTGCAGTATTCGTGTGGCATTGGATGCGAACATTAGTCGAAGGAAGCAGAAAACAAGTACAATTGACATCTGGAAACGGATGCAAGAGATCAAGTGTTGTTTGAATGTTCAACAGCTCCAAGGGTTACCCATTTTCCCAAACAGGGACAGTTGGTTATGCAAGATGACGACAGCCAACATATACTCAAAGCAAGCACGAAGAACTTCTAACGATACTACAAATTCATACCTGTACAGCATGTTCAGGCTTGGAAATTCCAAAACCAACGGCTACTGGTTTGTCGGTGACCTGCTCACGAGTCAAAGAAATTAGCATTCAAGGCAAGCAGATTGCTTCAAACCTTCTAAGCCAACCATCATAGTCACCTCCAAGAACAACAAAAACTCTTCATTAAAAAAAATTAATCCACATAGAATGGAGACGATGAAAAGCAAAGACCCTGACAATAACATTTATGAATTAGTATAATACATTTTCAATGAGATACAGTTTAGTCTAAGAAATGAATGACAAAATCAATCCAATAAAAAGATGAAGCAGTAAGTCACCTCCTTCAACTCTTTCAAGAGAGTTTCCACACGGCTCTGAACTGAAGTACGTGCTCCTGTAACTCCAGTAAGACTTACCTGCAAATAATTGTACGAGCTTCTTTAATACTCAACAGCTGTTTCACCGACAATTTTACATATGACTTTCCAAATGTAGAGACATATTTACACTTTCCTAGCCAATACCGCTTTTTTATATTTATTTTTCAGTGACAGAAGTCCCATGGTCTATACTAGAGGGATATCCTTTGTTTCTATCAAATTGCTGAAGTTGAATGATTTATGATAAAACTCATCATTCCACGGGAAGAGATATGCTCAGACTACAACTAAAGTAAGAGAGAATAACTTGAGCAGAATGTGACAGTAATGAAGCCAAGAAATAAATTTTACACTCACCAAATAGACGAAGCCTTGCGAGGCCTTGGCAATTATTTTCATGCGAGATTTGGGTGTAGTAGGAGTTGTCAACAAGATCTACAGGCATAAGTGTGATATAGTTACCAAAGCTTTTGGTATTCGGTCATGATTTTACCCTCTGGTGTTCAAGAAAGAAAGAAGAAAGAAGAATCTTAAATTTAGGACAGAAATGTTCCAATGCACAAAAACAACTACCGACAATAACATTCGTCAGTTGTTAGGATGTACTACGTTCAATTGCATGTTGTACACACCAATTCAAGGCCGTTTGCCACGGATCGCTCCCGGAGTTTGTCCGTCTCTTCAAGAGGAATATCTGGTACAACTAAGCCTGCATAGATAGCGTATGAAGTGAAAAAGTTCAGTGTGTAGATAGTCACCAGATTCGTGGACCTTACACGTAGTCGACTGTACGCATATCCGCATGGTTATGAACGTAATACTCTAAACTTAAACAGAGTACATGCATCATGTATAAGTTCTGTATCGAATCACATTCTATCGTGTCGAAAGATCATGTGGTTTTGATCATAATGACAATTCAAACTTGGTAAGGGCATGCTACCAGAGCCTCCAGCCTCTTTGACAGCCTTCAGGAAAGGTTCCATGCCCCGCTTCAGAATAGGATTGTAGTATGTGAAAAGCACAACTGGAGCTTTCAAGCTTGGTGAGATCTGCAAGACAACGCCCTTTGAATACTAAACTCCCAAAGATACACAACAAATTCAAGAGCGAAATTACAGAGTATATGTTTGCATCGTCAGCACCTATCAAGATGACAGAAGCACACACGATACAGACGTGGCTTTAGAGCATTAATTAGCGCACACAAGCATAGTGAAGCGAAAATGGTATACTCTCAGATACTGGTGAGTAAAATTCACCTCCTTCAACATCGACAAAACCTTATCGAGAGTTGTGCCCTTCGAAAGCGACCTAGTTGCGGCAGCCTATCATAAACAACCATCAATTCCAGTGAGTTGGTTACCTGTGACATCATCTCAATTTCTATGTCCTGTATGTTTCCTTTATTAACAGAAAAATAACAGACGAGAGTTTTGAAGTCAGTTCAAATTCATAATGGCAAAAAAAATAGAAGTGATATTGTTGTATCTTAAAACCAGGGAAATTACCACAAGAATTAAATATTACACATCCTCACGCAACATTATCGACATGATGAAACCATATTAAATAACATAAAGGCTACTGTAATCCTTGCGATGGTGGGATATTGAGAACAATGAATGAAGTCTACACATGCCTGAATGACAGGGCCATCAGCAAGAGGATCTGAGTAGGGAACTCCAAGCTCTATGATGTCTGCTCCACAGTCATCCAGTAGACGTAATGCCTGAGCCGTTGTATCCAAGTCAGGGTCGCCGGCAGTTAAGTATGGAATGAAGGCCACCTGATATACCCACCATCAAGTCATTAGCACAGTCCGCATAGCGTTATCTATTTGAATTCCAATTGCGGCTGTCGTTCACCAATGGATTATCGTGAAATTCAGAGTGCAGCCTAGTTTGGCAATGATTCCTAAAACTTAGCGCTTAAAGAAGTCCCATCATGTACAATCCGAAAACTGCGAGAAGCTTTAATGCTCGTGTCCAAGTTGGATGAGAACACACAAAGTAAAGATTCAACTGTCACGCCTACTTCAGTTTAAGTACCACGCTGATACCACATTAAATTTCCACCCCATATAATCATTTCCAGCTAACCAAAACAAAAAAAGTTTGTATTCGACCAAGGGCAGTCACTAAGGTATTCCGCATTCTTCTTCCACTTAACACTCCATCCCAATGTTAAGGAGTTGCAAAGTAGTGTCAATCATTGTAAGGGACTGATGGCCGCTGAAACCACGTGTAAGGATGCAATTCATCCACAAGACTGGACACAAGTTCGTTGTCCTAATTCAACAGGTGTGACAAGCTTTTTGAGCAAACAATTAATCAAAGCTGAATCTTCACTGCAATTCTACTGAGCTCTTTGTTGCAGCGAGGGGACTTCTAAACCTTGGTTGACTAATACAGAACAAGCTACTTACTACCAAAGTGATCATTCGAACTTTTCTCTTTCAAGCACAATTTGTAGCAAATATCTTTCTCACGACGTTCAATTCATTTCCTGTGCTTTGCCTGTCCAATTACAACATCAGGATTTAGGGGACAGGCGTCAATTGCGCAACTCGAGAAGAAATATACCTTTCCTAGCTGCTTAAGTGTAGAAAATGTGTCAGCAATTCTAGTCATGCTCTGAGTGTTTGAGGCGTGAGCGGCAGTAGCTCGGGGCATCACAGGTCGCTGCTTAGATGCACTTGAACAACGAGCACCCTCACAGGAGGAAACGCAGAATTGCGAAGGAAAGTGGTTCAGCGACACCAGGGATGGTAAGCACGTGGTACGCGCGGCGAATTGAGACGCCACTGCATCCTGCAGCCGCGCTTTCCCAGACGAGCCGACGGTTGCTACTCCGATAGGTCCCCTAACAAGCGCCATAGCTATTGCAGAAAAATGCGCGTCTGCAGCAAAACAAACATAAATTCATTAATACTCCACATTTCACAGAAACAAAATGGAAAGCAAGAAATCACAAGGAAATGTTCGTTGCCGCTAAGAAGTCCCAAACAAAGCTTGAAGACTTGTGGTCACGCACATTACTGTTAAAACGTCGCAAATTAACGCAAAATACCAATTCCGGCCTCACAAAGCATACATATCCCACTGATGCCACTTCAAAACCACACAAATGCTCACACAGAGCCCTAAACCCCAACCGTGGCCCAGAGACAGCGTACTTAAGTCGCACCTCGCGATCCAATTCCAAAATGGTAACCAAGACAAAATTTAAAAGTAGGAAAATGATGTAGCACGAATAATGAAGTGCAAAAAATGTTTATAAAACGCAAGGAAAACACAATGCGAACGTAAAATGACCTGTTCCGGGAGCGTGAAATAGGCACTGGCAGCAGCGGATACCGCCGAAACCAAATTCTACTGCGAAATGCTTCCGGGTGTTCTCGGTGGCTTATGACGGAGGGAAACGACGAGAATGTGCATTTCGTCAACGAGGATGTGGAATGTGACGACGTCGTTCGTAATACTCGTTCGTCCTCTCAGAACCGACGAGACCGCGGGGTTTATCATATCTACGTAGGTTTTAATAATTCTCGTTGATACCGTCCTACGTCTTCGTTCGGGTTTAGATTTCTGACGAATTACTTTAAGTTGGTTTCTTGATTAACTGAAGTATTTTTTTGGTTATAATCAGAATAAGGTAAAAAAAATTATGAACATAAATCAACTTTTCAAATATCTGATTTGTGATATATTTGTTTAAGATCATCTTGATTGCCAAATGGGATTGGTTTGTTACTATTTCAAAAAAATTCTAAATATTTGAAATAGATTTATTTTACTTTGCTATCATATTTTAGTTTGATGAATTTTAAATATGATTTTTCTATTTTTATATAAAATGCGCTTTGGTACATTGTCCCTACATTTTATTTTTGGTATTTTTTTTAATCTCCTACCTTTTTTTAACAATGTGTTGTCTCAAAAATATGCAAGAATATATTGGCATATGCGCAAGAATAAGACTACTTTGAAAATATATATACTTTTTTTAGCGTCTTTATTTTTATTTTTATTCTTTTTGAATATTTTAACCTTTTTTTAATATTTTATTTCAGTTATTTTTTAATCTTCTACTTTTTTTACGCAATATGTTATCTCAAAGTTAACAAGAATATATTGACATATACACAAGAATGAGAGTATTTTTTTTATTTACCATCTTTATTTTTATTTTTATTTTTATTTTATTTTTTTAATCATTTTATTTTCTTCAAATATATTTTGTTGCACAACAAGCAAGATATGGCTTTTTCAAAAGTGTTTAATAATGCTTGTTGTTTATGCATTGTCTTTATTATTTTAAAAAAAAAAAAAAAAAAAAAAAAAAAACTTGGCATACGAACAAGAATAAGAATACATTGAAAAAAAATGTACTTTTATACGTTGTCCTTACATTTTATTTCTGTTATTTATTAAGCTTCTACCTTTTCTTATACAATACATTATCTCAAATTAAGAAAGAATATTTTAACATGCGCATAAGAAAAAGACTATATTGAAAAAATGTCCTTTTTGTTTAGCATCTTTGTCTTTTATTTTTTTCTTTTTAATCTTTTACTTTTTTCAACAAAATTTTTCCCTAAAGTAAATAAATTTTAATACAAAGTATACAAAGAAGCTTTATTTGATGATTAAAACTTAAGGCTTGGCTTTTTTCAAAGTGTCTCGTATTGCTTGTTGTTTTTATATTATCTTTATTAAAGATGAAGAAGTAGCAATTGGTCATAAGCATAAGAAAATAATCCATATCAATTTTTTTGACTCTTTTAGAATTTAAAATCTAAAATTCCTATTTTTAATGCAACACTCAAAAAAATATGCAAAATATTAACAATTGACATCTAGTAAAGATAATGAATCCTTCTTTTGCATTATCAGGACTTTGTTTGTTAACAACTTAGACTTTCATTTTGTCAAAGATAAGTCTGTTTTTTTTTTTTTTTTTTTTTTTTTTTTTTTAAAAAAACCAAATTTTGAAGTCAATATTAAAAATTTATATTTTATTCTAATAATATTAGAATTATTGTGCATAAACATGCTTTAAATATCTTCTAATCATAGGTTAATAATAAAGACAATAATTTTTTTAGTTATAAGGTCACAATAAAGATATTTTTTAATTTTTCATGATACTTGAAGTACCTCTTATGCATTACTACATTTTAAGTAGCAACCTATTTGATTTAGATTGCATTGGATCATTATGGCCCTAGTTATTAAGAGGTATCAACCACACAATTGTCTCAAATCATGTAAGGATTCCCTATGCAATTTCTTTGCAAATTCTATTAGATTTTATTTTGAAGGTTTGGGTAATTTGTATAGTGTTAGACAATTGAACACATTATGATATATTTTATCTTAATGTGCATTACCAATACTATTATAATAAAGCAATGGAAAACTTTTATTTTCTTGTTATTCCTCTACTTGCTTAATATATTGGAAAAATTATATTTGATACATTGGTTGCATTTATAGATGCAATTTTTCCTATGCAAAAACATTAAAAAATCATTGTATTGATTGACCTTAATTAAAACATAACTATATTAGTAGTATTGCTATCCAAATTGAATATGTTATTTTGCTTTGAACCATTAAAATTGGTGCAATATACACTAGCAAGATTTGGTTTTATGACACATTTTAACCAATGCTTTAGAGAAGTAGTTTTTGAACAATATGACTATTTTAATTCGATATCTCCAATGGCAACAAATTCTTGTCTTTTAAATAACAAATACATACATAAAGGTGGCTAGTATTCAATGGTTATTCATGGAAATAATTAAAAAATGGTTTAAGCTTCATGAAGTTATAATGTAGGAGAATTTGGAAATAAAACAATTTGCATGTGATTTATTGCTAATATGGTGGATCTTTTTATCTATAATTGAAGCAATCTTCAAATAACCAATTATTTTTCTTACTACTTTGTATTGATTGAAAATATTGTTATCACAACAATACAAGCAATTAAAACTTTTGATTGCAATGTATTGTCAATAGCCAAAATATATGGGCCAATAGAGCTATATGAACTTATATTGCTATTCTTAAATAACTTTATTGTTAAAAATATGAATGCACTTTCCAAATTATATATAAAAAATAGATTAGACAAACTTAGTATTTCGATGTGTCAAATACTTGATACTTTAATCATAGAAAAAATAAAAATATTATTGATAATTACTACATTGATATTTATTTAACTAATATAAGATATATTTAAGATTTTTGATGAATAAGACTCAATAAATTTTCTTAGAAACAAAATATCTCAGGTTATTCTAATAGAGTTTGTTAAGTTAAGCATGCGCTAATTTTTCAATATCTACAAGTCACTATTATATTAACTTCAAATTTTTTGCACCAAAGTTGATTTCAAATTACTCCACTAAACTTATTTTTTATGTTTATAATATTTTTTCTTCAATAAATCTATAATTTTCATTATTGATGTAAATTTAAACATAAAAACTTTGAATTTCAAATAAGCTTAGGTAATAACTAACCACCAATTTATTTATTTATTTTAGTTTTGTAGTAGACTTACTTCTGTCTTTTAAAATACTATAACAATTATTTTTATTTTATTTTATTTTGGAATTTACAAAAAGATTTATTATAAACTATCCTAAAAAAATTCTTGTTGAAAGACATTATGTATGCAAAAAAATTGAATCATTGTAAAAGCTTCTTATAATTTGAATACAAAGCAACTACTTTTATTATAAAAATTCTCAACATAAACTAATTTCAAAATCTTTGAGAATTTTTAAAACTAAAGAGATATATTCATGATTTATTATCTATATTATTAGATAATATATATTTTTATTTTTATATTATACTTTCATAAACATAATATATGCATCTTTTTTTATTATTAATATTAAAAAAATTAAAAAATTATTATTTTGAAAAAACTTGAACAAAAATTATTCTCTCTCTTGCACACATACACATGCATACTAATATATATATATATATATATATATATATATATATTAATATTTAAAATTATAAATATTCTATATAAGTTTTGAAAAGTTTAAAGTCTTTGTATAATGTGAATTATTGATTATGTATTTTAGATTTCTTAATATATATAATTTCTATTGTATATTATTTAGAATAAAATTTACAAAGTATATAATTGCAATTAACAACTATATCAAGGTTGTTGAAAGATCATTGAGAAATAAATGATGTTTAAGTTTAGAAATTACAATACTTCTTGTTGATTGTGTCAATGAACAAGTTATAGTTTCTACATGTTTTGTAAATTTATACTTAAATCTTTTATTTTTAAAAGCATATATTTACCTATTGCTATTTGATCAAATTCAGCACGTGATTTAAATAAAAGAAAAAAGAATAAAACATCATGTTTTGTTAGTCGTTGGTCATACTATTGATATATATCTTATAATAGAATTTTTTTACTATCTTATTTATTATGCATGAATCACTATTTATGTTAAAATCCAAAACATATTCATATCAAAGGTATACAAAATACTAAACCATCTGCACAATATGACCAACTAAAAGAAACTATAGAAATTTATTCAGAAACATTTATAAAATACTGATTTGTTTTGCAGATATCAAACTGGGATGAATGTTGAAGGTTGTCATTAACACAAATCATAAAACTCTGTCATGAACTGATTAGCATCCCATTAGATTATATTTTTAAAAGTATTAAAAATTAAAACTTACATATAACTAACTAAAACTGTGCAATTTAAAGGCAACCTATCTCTCAGTTTATTGTAGAAGCTGTCTCAGTATGTTATCATTCATTTACATTTATGCTGTTTTTCATAGCACACAATTATATCTGCCTAAAATTGACCCTTGATTGTGTGAGGAGACCAGAAAATCAGGAAATTTGTTGCACCAAGTGCACTACCATGGCTGTAAAACATCTGTTACTGGAACAGAACAGAACATGTCTTAAGTTAGATGTAATACATGTTTTGTTATATTCAAAAAAAAAAAAAAAAAAAAATCCAATTATTTAAGTTCATAAAAAGAATCTAAAAAGGATGTAAAAATTTGTGTGGACTACATTTTTCAAAGTAAACACACATACATTATTCAAAAGAATATGAGAAATAAAAAAATTTGAAAATTGAAAATGTAAAACAATACATTTGAAATTGTCTCAACTATATATATAAATTTTTTTTGCAAGGATTATCCAAATAGATTTGATATTTAAAAAGGTACATGAGTGTCTTGTTTCCAACTACAATCTTTATTGATCAACATCTATCATACCATAAGTAATTTAAAAAAAAAAATCTATATTCTTAATATAGGATTTAAATATAATTTAGTAGTGGGATTGTGGGCCATAAATTGAAATGATGTTTATTGAAGA